ACAGTGTTTTGTTCCAGATCTAGTGATATAAAGAAAACCGACACATTATTTGATATTACTGCCATCTTACCAGTAAATCGTGGTGACATATGTGGCGGGAACTAGATTATTTCCAACAGCCATTGCAGCCACTAGTGCGATAATCCACAAGATCACAACTCTGAGTTGTAGGTTGGTTTCAGTGGCTAAAACTTTTATCAGACCGCGACTATCCATAAAAGCTAAATTCTATGATGACCACGTTTTTATGGTGATGTGGTATAACGCCATCACTGAAAAAGGATTAAAGAATAACATGGATGAAGTTGACAAATAAAACAACGATGAACAATTAAGTAAGGGCCGCATCGCACTTAGCATACACTTCGGTTATATTAATCGAAGTGGTGAGAAAGGAACCAATAAGCCGCAAAATAACCGATGCTCACGATGAGATCATGAAAATATTACTGAAAATTCATAACAAGTCGTGAATTGTCCGTAGTAACAAACATAATGACAAAATCCGTTGGAATGCAGCTTTCTGCCTCAAGGCCTATTCACTGTATACCTCCAGCATATAATACATTTTTTACTATCATTCGGACAAACTTATATGTTGATAAAATGGTCAATATTTCAGTTTTGCCTCCTTTATTAGTGAATTTAAAATAACGATGACCATTTCACTTGATGTAGCTCTCATCCGATATGGTCTACAGATCGTCAGCAGAAGGTCGTAATCTAACAAATGCCAGCAGCAACATTTGTTGGAACAACTACCTTTTTCGATGCGTCAAGTCCAAACCTTTTTACAAACAGGTCTGTCGCAAAACATAAAATTAACGACAAGAAAGAATATGGTGTACATTGTAACCAAAAACGACTCCAATTCTAAATAAAATAAAAGCTTACTCTACACTAAGTATAACGTGACTGCAAAAGGACGCTCATTGGGTGCGTTTGGATGGATATTTACGTAAACCATCACACAACATATACACAGAGCTGACGTATCAAGGTTTTAAATTTGAGCCAAGACCAAACCAAGGGCTATTCATTTATAAACGCTAATGAATATGCACGGGAACTCCAAATCAGTGATTGCGTTCCATCCATGACAGATAAATGGCAACACAGAAAGGAACATTTTAAGTACTCATTAAAGCCAATGAATATCATCATGACATCAGGTTTACAGCTGAAATTTCCAACAAATGCCAGGTATTTCAGGACACAACAACAAAATTTGCAGAAAACAAACCCGACATGATCACCTCCTCTAAACCAACCGTTTGTACACTATCTCCAATAAATCAAACTGTCACCATGACCACTATATTTAGAACATCCCTTACTAGCAGACAATGAAGATATGCAGAACTTGCTCTGAAAACGATACGTTTGAAAGTACATCGAACAATCTACTTGAATACCTCAGAAGGGGAGGAGGAAATGACAATGAAAACAAAAGTAGAGATTATATATAGAGATTAGAATGAAGTCTATTCTGATCTCTTGAAGATAACAGGAACGTGATCTACAGGCACTCTTCATCCTCACAGTTCATATTGACCTCAGGCAGGTTACATCATTAAAAATACTGGCCTGCTAATGAGTCTGACAAAACTCGCATGACACGCTTCCATTTCTATTTTATAGCAGACTTCCATTTCTATTTTACAGCAGACTTAAACATCACAGAAGCAGCCATATCCGTGCAAAAGTAAAGTCAACTATAAACCAAACACATATCGATACATTCGTAGCTTATACAGCATAACAGTGTAACACTTGCCAGCACGCAATGAAGATTAGCACATTTTCGAGCTATAGGCAAAACAGTTGAATATTCATAACTACAACAGTACATGTAACCGTAACTTTAATGCATCTCGCCAAATACCGGGTTTGTGCTATTCTGCATGCTGGAGAGATATTGAAACCTTTAAAAGAACCAATCTCTCCACAATTTTTTTGGATTACAAACCAAAGAAAGTAATTCCATTGCAGAACATTCCTCATCCCTTATGCAAACCTTCTCAAACAGTGTTTGACTGGAACTGTCTGCGTCCTCATCTGTAGTCCATAAGGATAGTGAAAGAAATCAACTAGATCCACTGTCCAAGCGTAGTTAAATCAGACAGATTGACCCAGGAGGAATCAAAAGCCGCATCTGCACCAACATTATTATTATTATTATTATTATTATTATTATTATTATTATTATTATTATTATTATTATTATTATTATTATTATTATTATTATTTAAATAATGCGCAATAAAATGACATCAAGAAATGAATGTTAGGACAATACCCCTCTGGGATCGTAACAAGTGGAACGCTACTCTTGGAAAACCTTCCTTGCTCTGCTCAATATTTTACTTCTTGATCAACTGATAAAGACAAATCGTGCGCTGCGAAAATAACTTTACTCCTATTATGAAAAAAGTTTAATTATTGCATATAACTAAAGCAAAACAAAAAACATCCCACTGAATCATGTATGTATTTTGGATTTTCATTTGATTCCCTTTCAATGTTAACTGTTGTGTTTTGTGTTCATTACAAGTATTTCAGTGTTAGACTTTAACAAAAGGATCTTAGCCTCCTATAGCGCTAGTGTTTAGCCATATCAGTCAGTTTGTGAGATTAATGTGAGATATTACAATTATACAACTAATCATGGTAAAACAAATATGTTACTTTGATTTTTCTTCATCAACTTGACATCAAGCGTAAAATTTAATATGGGATATGAATCATTCCTCTTCCTTAGATACATAGAGAAAATGTTAGTATTAAATCTTGTTCATTAACTTGTTTAATTTAAGACTTTAACATGGAAGCATAATCGCAGATGTTGCTAATGATAAGTAGTCTAACTTCATTCATTTAACTAGAAACAAGATGGACACTGACAAAACTTCTATTTTGACAAACATAATACGGCATTTGCTAAGCATCTTTTCTTAATTTGGTTCTTTGTTTTAATTCTATTTCGTCTTTCTCTTTCAATATAGAAAGTAATAACGTAGACATAGAAATTGTATTGTGACATTACATTATTATTTCCAAAATTCAGACCTGTAGTTCATTTTGTTTCCATAACGCTATAATCTATGCTTTAAACCGGGGCCCAGGGTCACTGCTATCTGACCTTTGTCCATGTGGGGTAGGATCTCGAGTTCGACCAATGTGGATATGTGAGAAACTTGCCACTCGTTGGTCGGTGGTTTTTACTGTGATTTTATTGGGTTCTTGCTCCACCAAATATTACTGACCGCCATTTATAGCCTCTCTTGGGCTGATAAATGACATTAACTCCAAAACAACAGCAATTTAAAACGATATAATGAAAGAGGTTAGCGAGTTAAAATTACATGGAAACATGATTTGAACAATGTATTGGCACTAAACTAATATTATATGTCACACATTAAATTTATCATTGAGATCTTTCTTACAGGACTTAGTCCAATGGTCTTTATAGCATTAATGTGCTTTATTTCGAGCGTATTTTACATCATACTATCTGCTTGTTCGATATACACACACACACACACACACACACATATATATATATATATATATATATATATATATATATATATATATATATATATATATATATATATGTATATATATATTGAGATAAAAATTTATCCACTAAACTGAGTCTGTGTTACCTACGTAGCAAGCTTTCTTAATTATTAGTTAACAACCTTGCCTGACTTTTATTGAATGCCTTTTCACTAATTATCACCGACTTTGCTATGTATATACATTTTGAGACTAAGGTGTTTCATATACGATAGCTGTGTTATTGAGACCTATTTTCTAGGTTAATTTTAACATCACTGAAACATTTGTCCAGAATTGTTTCCAATACATTGTTAAATGCATTAATAGGAAATTAGTTCATCATGTGGATCTTACAACCTGGATTCATCTCTAGATGCGCGGGCATTAAAATTGAGTCGCTGTAACCTATATTCCAGATCTCATTCATTGGGCTTTTTTAATACAATTTAACCTATTTATGCAGAACTTATATCTCAATTAAGCTAAATTGGTTTGATGTAATTTTTATAGTTCATTAAATATTGCTTTACAGATTCTGACTCGTGCCACAGAAAATTGATTATCTCGTGAACTCTGGTCTTTTGGCAACTGAAGTTAAGGTATAATTACCTAACAGTCCTGCCATCTCACCTCTGTCTGCGTGGGTTCGAGTCTAGAATTCGGCAAATGTGGATATGTGAGAAAGCTTGCCAGTAGCTTCTCGTGAGTCGGTGGTTCTTTCCGGTGATTTCCCAGTTTCTTCCTCCACCATTAATACTGGCCGCCATGAATAGCCTATCGTGTGCTGAAAAATGGCGTTAAACCCAACAACAACAACCTAACCGTCCTAACTTTACATGGCTTCTCATAACATTCTGATTATTCGTCAATTACAAAAATAAATATTCCAAGCTTGTATCCAATATGAAAAACATTGTACAATTAAACTAAATAAACAGCAGATAAAAATTAGTATTATTATGTCAATATTTACATCTCTATTTTATTTCAGGGGCACCTACACATACACGCTTACACCAAGCAACGGTGATCGAGTCATTGCCTTTGTGCATTCTCAGACCCTAAGTAATATAAGTTCCGTCACAGTTGATGGTGTAGGTAAGATAAACTATTTTCACTTGATCTAAAGGGCTGTGTTTAACAGATAATCGCACCATTACTCCTTACAATTGGTAATTACTGTATTGTTGCATTATTCAATACAGTCGCATTGGTAATTCACTATAGTCCCATTAGTAATTCAATACAGTCCCATTGGTAATTCTCTATAGTCTAATTGGTAATTACTGTATATTTGCATTATTTGCATCTCATATTCATTTATGTGCCAATAATGTTTTTATTTGAAGTTTTTCTGAATTTGCATGCATTATTTTCAATGCATATCGTTTCTCGAAATTAACATTACTAATTCAAACAGACTTTCCTCCGCGGACTGCTCCGGTGGCTTAGTGGTTCCAGCATCCGCCTAGGATGCTGGAGGTCGTGGGTTTGATCCCAGGCTGAGTCATACTAAGGGCTTGTAGAAAAGGTACTAACAGCTGCTTCGCTTGGCGTTCAGCATTAAGAGGTTAGTGTTAGGACTGGTCAATCTGGTGTCAGGATAATGTGACTGGATGGGACATCATATTCCATTTCATAGGCATGATGCTCCAGACATCACTATAAATTGCCACACTGCAGACATCGTAGCGATATAGCTCAAACATAGTAAAATCAAAATCACACACAAACACACACACCTTTCTCTGCGAAATTTAACTAAATCAAGAAGTTTAAAATCAAAGCACAATTTCTTCCTTATATATTCGTTTATTACCAATGACTTTGGATTTTATTTTCGTCTCCACTCGTCTTTTTGAATCAGAACATAAAATTCATTTGATAAGTCTAATTCGTTTACTTCTAGGCATTTCAGTTAGAATCTATTAGAAAGCATTATACATGTGTACAGCATTAAAGCATGCTCATACGGATTAATTGTACGTTTTCTCTTTTTTTCTAGGCATGGCCACCGGCACTTTCTATCAGAATGGAGTAATTACTATTGTAGTCAATTGGCAGAACCAGTATTATTCCGCCTCTTTCACGATAGTGGTCAAATTTTTTTCAACATATTCAAGTAAGTATGTGAATAAAGTCTTGGGTTTATTGAATTCTGGACCTACCTGACTTTCTTGCCATGTTATGCCCTATGTAGTTATGCACTGCCGCATTTCGTTTGAAACCAACTGAAAAAGACATAAACTAAAAAACTGCCAATTCACAATGGCCTGTGGATTAGTTTCTATACGCATGCGTATGAAACGAAGGTCGTAATTCTAAAGAATCCTACATGGTAAGAAAAAAATATTTATGATGATTCATCTAAAGTAACTACTAGAAAAACAATGAAGCATAAAAAATCTAAAACTCTCCTAGCGACAGCGGTGTACCCAAGAGCAACCAAACAAAAATGCAACAATGTTGTCCCCCAGTCTTATATCCAGCCCGAATACGGATCAAAAACTGTGAATATTGCTGTTCGTTTCAGGTTTTTTGCCTCTCCATTATTTTTGTAACAAGTGCTTCAAGTATCCATTTGCATTGAAAGTGCAATAAAGTGCCGCTCCCACCGAACTTTTGATTATAATCAAATTATTTACACCCTTTCTCCTACCTTTCCAAGATATACCTGTGTATTTGCATCCAAATGGATAATCTCCACAAGCGTCTCTCTCTCTCTCTCTCTCTCTCTCTCTCTCTCTCTCTCTCTCTCTCTCTCTCTCTCTCTCTCTCTCTCTCTCTCTCTCTCTCTCTCTCTCTCTCTCTCTCTCTCTCTCTCTCTCTCTCTCTCTCTATTCCTTTAATAAAAAGGGTTAATTTCACGTTCATTAACTCTGACCAGGTTCTAAAACTAATTACATAATTTGGAAATATAATCAATAAATGAATACAGGCAACATAAGAAATTTGTTACAAGTCTAAGCTCATACAAAAGTTACAAAAAAGAGTGAAGCCAACAAACTTTTTAAATTTTAACAGAATAATTTAATTCCCTCTAAAACAAGATGAATATATAAAAAAGGACTTACGGTTTTCGAATTAAATCCCAAAAACTAATCTTGGAATTTAAAAATATAAGTCAAATCACTAAAACGTTCTAAATGAATCACAGTTCAAATCTTTGTTGAATTTTATAAATCAAGAATAATATTCCGGCTTTTAAAATGCCAAATAATTTCCAATAAATTGCATTGTAGAAGAAATTTTATGAGCACTACTAGTTTTATGGGAATATAAATTATTCAATCCAAACAAAGAAGAATTTTAAATCAACCTGATATCAACATTAAAAATACATTGAAATCTAAAGATGAAAATTACGATTAACTAAATCCACTACAAAACTAAATTCTCAGTTGGTGGGACAGGTACAACTAAATTAATTGCATAATTTACCTCTCTCAATATACTCATTGAACATGTTAATGTGGCAAAGTTGTTTTTGTTTCCTCCTCCCAGGAGTATTTATCATGTATCTTAAATCATTTACTTTTTTTCATCTTCGAATGGACCAAAATATCTAGCCTGAAGAAGATTTTTGAGAATGGGCAAGGCTGAAATTCCTTTCCTTTGAGTTTTTATCATACCATAATTTCATTTTTAACTGAGTAGAGTATAGATTCGTTCTTGCAACCTCACAAGCCTTTGACAACTTATACTTAAAACTGGTAACATAATCGGTAAGATTAAGTTCAGTATCCTCATTAGAAAGAAGTTTCTCTTTCAACAACTTCACTGGTCCACGCACAGCGTGATTGAAAACTAGTTCAAAAGACTGAATCCTAAAGATTTTTGAACTGACTCCCTAACAGAAAACAACAGTAAATGAATGCTTTCATCCCAATTTTTACCCGTCTCAAAGCTATATGATCGAAACCTATTCTAAAAATGTCTAAAGAAATCTTCTGAAATCCATTTGGCTCTCAGGGTGATAGGCAGAATATTTGAATTGTTGAATGTCTAAATTATACATAACTTGTTGGAAAATTCCAGACATAAAATTTGACCCATGATCCGATTAGACATATTTGTGAAGGTCAAATTGAGTGAAGAACATTATCAAACCCTTTACTAATGTTTTAGTTCTAATATTTCTCAAATGAATAATTGGTCAACATGTAGTGGTTGCCAGACTTGACTTACTCATTGGTAAGGGACCTACACAGTCTACCATTATTCTGCTAAATGGTTCATCAAATGCAGAAATAGGTTGTAGATGAGCCTTAGGTATCTTCTGATTGGGTTTTCCAACCATTTGATATGTACGATAAGATCTACAGTATTTACAAACATCACTTTTGATTTTCGGCCAGTAAAAGTGAGTCCAGATCTTGTGATGAGTCTTTATAATGCCTAAATGGCCAGCCAGAGGAATTTCATGGGCCATACTAAGTATTTCCTGTCTGTACGATTTTGGAACTACAGTATGATAGTTCACTGACCACTGGTCACCAGCAGATACCTCGTGAGGTTTCCATTTTCTCATAAGAATTCTGTTTTTAATGAAATAACAGACGGGTACTTCAGTGGCTTCAGTTTCACTAATGGCCCTCTGAAACAAATATGAGATGTCATGATCTTTTTCCTGTTCGACGACAAGTGATTATTGTTGTCACTCTGATTAGAAAAGAAAGAATTATTAGTAGTTAAAAGAGGATCATGTGATCAATACCTTTTGATTGATCCAAAACAAGGAGTGAAAGTGATTTTATCAATTGTCTGACCAATATATGTGTCAGCTAAAGGAATATTTTCCTTATCAAAATCATTCTCAAAAGCTTTCTTTGACATAGCTCTTGTAACTTCATAAGCTGGGTATAAAACAGTGAATTATTTTTTCAATGGGATCGACTTTCTGATACATGTATAAGGAAGGTAGCTTTGTCAGTTACAAGTATATTAACCACAACCTTGTCTCCAGCTCGGTCGTTGTCTAGTGACAAATGAATGCCCTCAACGGATAAAGAAATCATTACTCCGACTGTCACATGTCCTGAAACTAAGTCTGATGACAAATATACACAACGGAGAGGAACATTAACAAAGTCGCACTCTACTCTAATGAAAAAACTCTCATTAGAACAGGTCTCAGAAGAAGGCAAAATAACGGAAATTAAAAGACTATGCGAAGCTCCTGTATCCATTAAAATTTCAATAGGGATAGGATTGGCCAAATTACTCAAGAGTGATATAGAACTCTCCGACACGAATGGTTCATGATTCTCCATAATAAAATCAGACTGTTTTTTATTTTGACCCAACAAATGTTTTGCTTTCAATACGTGAGCATTTGGGATAGATCTATTTCAATTTAAAGCAATCAGAAATGACGTGTTCCTTTCATCTTGCAATAGGAACACGTAGAAATAGACATGGAGTTTGATTCAAGTTTACCAGAAGCTTGATGTTTACAAGTTGTGGTAGATTTAGGTTTAGGAGGAGTCGTATTAGCTGAACCACATTTTTACCAGTAGACTGCTAAGTGAAAGACTTGCTTATAACAGGAACTTTATGATTTAAGGAATACATATAGCAGCACGATCAGCATTTTCCTAGGTTTCGATCTTATGCTCAAGATAAATCTTAATGTCGCTATGGAAACAGTTCTTGAACTCTTCATGTAATACAAGTTGTTTGAGACTTTTATATTCATGTTCAAATTTTTAGCTAAGCAACATCTCGCAAATAACTGCTAATTTTCTCTTGCAAATTCGACATAAATTTGCCCAGATTCCTTTTTTTAGTTCCTTAATTTGTGCAGATATGCTACAGGGAACAACTCCTAACCCTTTTAGATGCATTCCTTAACCAAATAATAGTTAGCAATTTGATGCACTGACAGTGAATCGTAAATATCACTAGCTGTACCAACAAGTACACATTATAGTAACTGAGTCAAATGCTCCCTTGGACATGTTACATTTTTGGAAACATTTTCAAAACGAGGAAATTGTTTCTCTACTTCTTTTTCTCTGAAAGGATACACTAACCTAATCAGTTCCATCTTAATAACAATGTAGGCTCCGGGCAAAACAATACACTGAGGCCATCTACCGGCTCTATTATTCATTAATAAAATGAGCAGCATGATGCCCCTAGAAGCGTAAGGCCATTTATCAACTGCCCATACCTTTCGACAGCACTGAATCTAATATTCTTTGTAATATCAAAACTTAAATGTATTAATTTGTATCTGAAAATGGATGGTGTTTTTGACTTGCCAACTCCATTTCTTTTAACTTAATCTAAAAATCCCTTTCATCCTTTTCTCTTTGGATTTGTATCTCTCTCACTCTCTCTCTCTCTCTCTCTCTCTCTCTCTCTCTCTCTCTCTCTCTCTCTCTCTCTCTCTCTCTCTCTCTCTCTCTCTCTCTCTCTCTCTCTCTCTCTCAAATTATAACTTCATTTGTTCTCTATCTTCTCTTTCTCAAGTCGTAACTACGATTGTTTTTCTTCTTTCTGTAA